ACAGTAATAAATGACACAGAGTCAGTATTTAATGTGACGATCCTTGGCTTTAAATAAATAAACAGTGTCTCAGGTGCAGTGTGTGCAGTTTGATAAGGAAATGAGCTGTAAGTGTTACTGAGCATCTTGCAGAAGCAGCCGCAGTTCTTCTGGAGACTTTGACTGTCGACTCGCTTCTTATTTCTGCAGCGAAACCCAGGAGCCTTCATTCTGTTTTTATCTGAAAAGTGTCTCTTATGGAATCTGCTGCTTTCTTTACTGACACACAAACATTTTTCTGTAACGTTTCATTCTGTGCCGGAAAACTAATGTTTGGAATCTAAAGTGTTTTAGTACTGAATCAATAATGTAGAAGTCAGAAAATAAACATCTATAACAGAGTTTGGACTAAAGATATACAGTGCCTAAGATTTCTGCACAGTACTGTATATCGTGATTTACTGTCAACGCAATAAAACATCGAAAGTATTATCTGAAAAAGATAAAATTAAATGAAACGTGAACGATGATCAAATTCAGAAACTCTCTGAAAGTCCGGGATATTTGACACGGCTAATCAACACAATAATATTACCATGCTAGCAAGTACCCAAGCTAGCTTGTTAGCATGCTAGTTACTCATACAGCTAGCGTGTGAGCGGAAACACACTGTCCAAAGTAAAGGCTCAGACAATGTAATCAGATCTTGACTGGTATTTAGTTAGCATGCTGGCTAGTTAGCAACTCAAGGAAGTTGAGTTTATAAATCTTGGAGGAAGTAAATCATCATATACTGAAATGGAGTGTAAGTGAGTGACACACACACACACACACACACATTCAGAGCATGTTGAATTAAACTACAGACATGAATGTGCTTTGTGTTTTTATAATTTATTATCTGACCTGTTTTCACTTGGCGCTGCTCACACTGACCCGAGACCAAGTAAATAACACACATAACGATAACCCGGAGCCTCAGCACCGAGCAGACACACACACACACACACACACACACACACACACACACGCTAATTAGCATTTGAGCACTCAGCACTGTTTAAATACAACACGCTAATAAAATACAACATTTCTCCTGCAGGTTGTCACACAGTGATACCAAACAGAAAGTTCGTCTTAATTAGAGACAAAAATAACAGCAGGTAACGATGAGGTCCTGAGCCTCAGCTGCTTCCGCAGGCAGTAAACAGTAATCGCAGGCTGTAATCCTGTAAACACGGACACTGCGCTCATTACAGCGCTAGTCAGGGGCCAGAGCACTGACGCTGAGTCCCACATCGCTCTTTCTTTAAGATCCAAGAGTCCAGAGCAAAGCTTTACTGAGTTTCCTTTATGTGATTGTTTTATTTAAAGCTGCAAAGAATCAATACAAAATAAAACAAAATCTGAGCTCTTAAAATCCTGTGTGTGTGTGTGTGTGTGTGCTTGAGTGTGTGTGAGTGTGTGCTTGAGTGTGTGTGTGTGTGTGTGTGTGTGTGTGTGTAGCAGTGAGATGCACAGAGGTCAGTTCAGAGTGAGGAGAAGGTCAGTGTTTAGTGTGTAATGAATATTTCAGCGTAGAGCGAATCCCAGACTTTCTGTCCTTCTCTCTCTTTCTGTCTGTCTCTCTGTTTATTTCTCTTTCTCTCTTTCTATCTTTCAATTCAATTCAGTTTTATTTGTATAGCGCTTTTAACAGTGGACATTGTCACAAAACAGCTTCGGGCAGTGGGAGCTCAGTGGTTAGGACGTTGGGCTACTGATCGGAAGATCATGAGTTTGATTCCCAGCACCACTAAGCTGCCACTGCTGGGCTCTTGAGCGAGGCCCTTAACCCTCAACTGCTCAGTTGTATAAATAAGATAAATGTAAGTCACTCTGGATAAGGGCGTCTGCCAAATGCTGTAAATAAATACGTTCAAACTAAATCAAAATTGTAAATTTATGAATTTTTCTCTTCCCAAGGAAGAAACCTTGAGAGGAACCAGACTCAAAAGGAACCCATCCTCATCTGGGTGCAATGGATAGTGCGATTATAAATAAATCCCTTCTGTAACTGTGCGCTATAAGGACAAATTTGTGCAACCAGGAAATTCATCACAGTTTCGGCAAGAAGTCCGGTTGGTTAAAATCTATCCACTGTCCACTGATGGAGTCCTGAGTACGAAGCTGCTCGTGGCAATCGCAGTCCCAAGCCATTACAGTACAGCTCCCCATGTGATCCCCCAAACCATCTCCACAGCCCCCAGGTGGCACCATCCCCAGCAAACCAAATGGTTCTTCAGGCCGTCCATATGGGGCCCCAGCAGCAGCAAGCGAACTCAACCAATGAGAACTCCAACCAGAAGTAGGGCATCAGGATGGGTCAAGCAGCGAGGAGGAGCAGAAGGGGTCAGGATCACTGGCATCTCAGGAGTAGCATGTGTAGCTCGACAGAGAGTGAGGGAGAAAGAGATGGAGGGAGAGAGAGACAGAGAGAGTGAGGGAGAGAGAGAGAGACAGAGAGACGGAGGGAGAGAGGGAGAGAGAGAGACAGAGAGAAGGAGAGAGAGAGGGAGAGATTTTTCTCCAACCAGGATGGCTCTTTCTCTCTGTGTGTATTTCTGTCTTTTCTTTTTCTCTCTTTCTGTTCATCAATTAAATTAAATTCTGTTCAGTTCAGTAAGTTTTATCAGCAGGACTTCCAGCCTCTCTGTCTGTATCCACATCTTTCTTTCACTGTATTTACGGTGAGTTTTGTTTTGCATGATTGATGAACTACACACTTCACCAGTCACTTCCATTTGGTCTCAGGTATGTGTGTGTGTGTGTGGGCTCCATGGTGCTAGGTGAAGTTGGATAGATGGAGTGTGTGTGTGTGTGTGTGTGCGCCTGCTCCTTACCTCAGACTGCTGAGATATCAGAGCTTCTCCTGCTCTCAGCCTTTTCTCAGTGCAGAGATTTGGGTTTTATATACGTTTTATTGACAGTTTTATCTTCATTATCTTGTTTGTGTCCTGGTTGTTTTGTGCAGCTGCTCTGTAATTACTGTGTTTTATATAAAACACTCTTCTGTTGGGTTTAATTGCTGTTTATTCACAGAAAATACTTTTTATATTATTACTGTAATACAGATTTTACAGTGACGTGTCAGTATTTATAGAAGATGCTGCCTTTATTCACCACGTCTCCAATGAAAGCCACCGGCATTTCACCATAAAATACAAAATGATGTTTAATGTACAGAAATTCCACATATTTAACATTAATATTATAAAAGCAAACACAAGGTTTGGCTTTTAATTTTACAGCAAAAATCTGACCTTCAATTTACAATAGTGTCTTTATTTTTATTGTACATTACTGTAAATAAACAACAACAACAACAACAGTCTTTTAATGAAAAACCTACAGGCAGGGAATTATTTTAATGAACTGAGTCTTATTTACAGCGTAGATCGAGTAGCAGAAGCAACAGCAGCACTAACACCACAGTGCATTGTGGGTACTGCACAGCCGCATCGCCATGAATACAGCACTGTTACAGCATGGATACAGAACTATTACATTTTTAAGAACACAGTGTTACCATAGATACAGCAGCATCGCCGTGGATACAGCACTGTTACACTGTCATTAAGGCACCGTCACCACGGATACAGCACTGTTACACTGTTATTAAGGCACCATCACCACGGATACAGCACTGTTACACTGTTATTAAGGCACCATCAACATGGGTGGCACTTTACAATGTTGTGAACGTATCACCATGGATACAGTACTGTTTTAGTTGGGGGTAGAGAGCGTCACCATGGATACAACACTGTTATAGTTTGGGGTACAGAACGTCACCATGGATACAACACTGTAATAGTTCGGGGTACAGAGCGTCACCATGGATACAGTACTGTTTTAGTTGGGGGTAGAGAGCGTCACCATGGATACAACACTGCTATAGTTTGGGGTACAGAGCGTCACCATGGATACAGCACTGTAATAGTTCGGGGTACAGAGCGTCACCATGGATACAGCACTGTTTTAGTTGGGGGTAGAGAGCGTCACCATGGATACAGCACTGTTTTAGTTGGGGGTACAGAGCGTCACCATGGATACAGCACTGTTTTAGTTGGGGGTACAGAGCGTCACCATGGATACAGCACTGTTTTAGTTGGGGGTACAGAGCGTCACCATGGATACAACACTGCTATAGTTCGGGGTAGAGAGCGTCACCATGGATACCATCACCTGTAGTTATTCTATTGTCTCTGTATATTAATAAACCACTTGAGAACGAAATCAGTTTTGTGGAGACTGCAGCACATTTAGCAGAGACGTTTTCATTTTTATTTTCTTTTTTAAAATAAATTTAAAACAAGATTTTAAACTTTATTTTCTAGCAGTCTGCATGCTGTAAACCGTTACACTCTTCCTCTCTCCGGTGACTGTCACACAGCAGGTCAGGTGCAGATCTGTTCCCGGTGTTCACTTCAGTTCAGCTGTGTGCTGTGAGTCAGGAGGAAATCATCAGCTCCTGCAGTGAACATCACGCCGTTATGTCGAGGACGTTTCATTTCTCACTGAATTCCTTTACATGCGTCGTTTAAAATAAATGAAAATAATTATTTTGATTGAAAAATACGGCATATAAAAATCCAGCAGATGTCTGCAGACGGCAATAAAAACACGAGCTGTATTCACACGTAACCAAGTTCCTGGTAATAACTGTGCAACGTCACACGCTATTACAGCTATTCCACTTTCATTATACATGTAATGAGTCGAATTAAAATATAAAATAAAAATATAAAAATAAAGTGCCATCATCTACACTCTGAGTCCTGAGTGTCTGAGTAACCAAGCGATCCCCTCCATCAGTCCTGAGAGAGACTCAGCCACCACGTCCTGCACCTGCACACACACGCGCACACACACGCGCACACACACGCGGACACACACGCGGACACACACACGCGCACACACACGCGCGCACGCACACACGCGCGCACGCACACGCGCGCACGCGCACACACACACGCGCACGCGCACACACACACGCGCACGCGCACACACACACACACGCGCACGCACACGCGCGCACACGCACACACGCACGCGCACACACACACACACGCGCACGCATACACGCACACGCGCGCACACGCATACACGCACACGCGCACACACACACACACACACACAGAGCATTATTCAATAAGTTCCTTCCAGTGGAGCGAATTAACTGGTTTAACTGGTGGTGCTAAGAACTGAAACAGTTGTGCTGTGTGTGTGTGTGTGTGTGTGTGTGTGGTCACCATCCATGGGTTGGGCAGCAGGTTGAGTTGTAGCTGATGAGCGACAGAAACACATGCACTCTTTCTCCGAGTCTCTCCATCTCTGGACACACAGGAGAGGACGAGGAGAGGACGAGATGGTGGACCGAACACGGGCTGTACCACTGCGCTGATCTGAGCGTACTCATCCTCCCTTATAGCTAACACACACACACACACACGTACACGTACACACACACACACACACACACACACACACACGCACCAGATAAAGCATCAACAAGACACTCTTTCTCCATCTCTATGATCTGAATCAGAACTAAAAGTAAAATAAACACAATTACACACTGCTTCAATATTTACTTATTAGCTTAACATCACACCACAGCGCTGGTGCTGCTGAATCCTGCACTCTGATTGGTCAGAAGGTGTTGATTAGTTTTCTATAACAGCAGCTCTGACAGTAGCGCAGGTTTATATTAATGCTCTCGCTCTAATATGTTATGGTTTCTATAGTAACAGGGACGAGGACAGCGGACGCTCCACATAAACAGCGTGCTGATGAGGCGAAGTTTACTCTTTAACACTATGGAAGGAGTCTCCAGTGTCAGAGGTAAAGCTGTAACTAAGTTCTCCGACATCTTCAGGACGGAGGAGTTTACGGCGTTTTTTTGTCTTATTAACTTGAAGAGAGAGACTAAAGAGAGGCTGGTGAGGGAGCGACTGTTTGTAGCTGCTATAACGTAAGTGACAACAGGAACTCACTCGTTTATAAACAGATAAAAAGTATGCCATGTCGTTCTTTAATAAATAAAAAACTGTAATTGTTGGTACGTTGCTGAGAAATAAAAGACTTGTGGACGTGGTGTTGCAGGACAGCGGAAGTCTCACCTGTCTGTGTCTCTGCGTTCGCGACGTAAATAAATCCGTTAACGGAGCGGAACACTTCCTGAAACTGAGGAGCGACGCTGTAACGCGCACTTCCTGTTCCATCGTCCTCCTGAACGAAGAGTTTACTGTTCACTCTGGACCTCTCCACACGCGCTCGCTGTCTCTCTGCACTGCACACACACACACACGCACACACACACACACACACACACACACACACACACACCTTTACTGTGTGCCAGTAGATGATCTGCTGTGTTTATTGTGAGTGTCGGTGCAGAACTCGGTACCTGTTGGTTGAATATAAAGTGATGATGTTGAATTTGTGTTGGCCGTCGTAAACAAAACTGATCCCTGATCCAATACCTAACACACACACACACACACACACACACACACACACACACACACACACAGCACTTTATTCAGCCTGACTATTAATAATTAAATAATTAATCTCTGTGTGCTTTAGTATAAAAGTGTGCAGCATGTTACGAATGAAAAAACCCACTTTGTTAAAAACGTATACAAATAAAACATTCATTTAAAACTGTAAAGATATTAACTGTAGGGTTCTACACGCCAAACTCAACACGCTAAACTCTACACGCCAAACTCTACACACACCCGGAGC